TGATGATGGTGATGGTGATGATGGTGATGATGGTGGTGATGGTGATGATGGTGATGATGATGATGGTGATGCTGGTGAAATGATGGTGATGATCGTGGTGATGATGATGCTGGTGATGATGATGATGGTGATGATGGTGATGATGATGGTGATGGTGGTAGTGATGGTGGTGATGGTGAAATGATGGTGATGGTCATGATGATGGTGAAATGATGGTAGTGCTGATGGTGATGATGGTGATATGATGGTGGTGATGATGGTGAAATGATGGTGATGGTGATGGTGATGATGGTGATGATGATGGTGGAGAAGATGGTGGTGATGATGGTGATGATGGTGGTGATGGTGATGGTGATTATGGTAATGATGGTGATGATGGTGGTGATGGTGACGATGGTAATGATGATGATGAAGGTGATGATGGTGGTGGTGATGGTGATGATGATGGGATGATGATGGTGGTGATGATGATGGTGATAATGGTGGTCATGATGATGGTGATGATGATGATGGTGGTGATGATGTGATGGTGATGATGGTGGTGATGATGATGGTGATGGTGATGATGGTGATGATGTTGATGATGGTGATGATGATGGTGATGATGGTGATGGTGGTGATGGTATTGGTGGTGATGGTGATGGTGGTAGTGGTGATGGTGATGATGATGGTGGTGATGGTGGTGGTAGTGATGATGGTGATGGTGGTGGTGATGGTGGTGATGATGATGATGGTGAAATGATGATGATGGTGGTGATGGTGATGAGGGTGATGGTGGTGATGGTGATGATGATGGTGGTGATGGTGGTGGTAGTGATGATGGTGATGATGGTGATGATGGCAGTGGTGATGGTGGTGGCGATGGTGGTGGCAGTGATGATGGTGATGATGGTGATGATGATGATGGTGATGGTGGTGGTGATGATGGTGGTAGTGATGATGGTGATGATGATGGCGATGGTGGTGGCGATGGTGGTGGTGACAGTGGTGGTGATGGTGGTGGTAGTGATGATGGTGATGATGGTGGTGGTGATGGTGGTGGTAGTGATGATGGTGATGGTGGTAGTGATGGTGGTGGTGGTAGTGATGATGGTGATGGTGGTGGTGATGATATCTAACAGCACCTACTCCATGGTTGGCAGCAGTTTGTACATATTCACTCATTCAATTCTCACAATTAGCTACTGATCATTTCCAGATACAGAGGAGGACAGTGAGGCATGATGAGAGAACAAATAGCTAGCTTGAAGCTCCACCACCAATTAGTGGCTGAGCAGGAACTCAGAGCATCGGGGGCCTGACTGTACTTTAATGCAGTGGTGCCTATGTGTCTCCTGTACAAGGAATATCTGCCTGCTGCCCACTCCACGTGTCTCCCCCCTGCCCCACTCCACTCTCCTTGACTGTAAAGGAGGGAGATCCTTGAGAAGTCCACATGGGAGGATTTTGTGGAGTCACTTGGCCTGTGCTGACCCAGGCTGAGGGCTCAGTGTACTACCCACATCACTGTTGTCACTCTCTGTCATTGCCATCTCGTCCTGCCTGTCCCTGCCCAGTTTACCAAGAGCCCCGCTATCCCTGCGTGCAGCCTCTGTGGGTGCCATTGTGTTGGGCCAAGGACCAGCCTGACTCTGCGGCTGTGGCGACAAAGGGTGTCGGGGGTGCCCGGCCCCTTTACTCTCTCCCGAGTGCGGGAGTCCAGGGGCAGAGGTTCCGGAGGGACCGGATAGAGTCTTGCACAGGAAGGGCCCTGGCAGGGCACGGGACCACCCGGTCCCTCTTCTTGCACTTGGGGAAAGGGGACCGAGGCACAGAGAGGCCAGTGGGCGGCAGGGAGAGTACAAGCACAGGACGTTGTGCCGCAGGCTGGCTGGCACCGAGCCCACTCCGGAACAGCCTGGGGCTCGGGACGGAGACTGCTCAGATTTAAGAAAGTACTTTTTAATTTTTTAAAAAGATTTTATTTAGAGAGGGCATGAGTGGGGGGAGGGGCAGAGAGAGAGAGTCTGTCAAGCAGATTCTGCACTGGGTGCAGAGCCTGACACAGGGCTCAATCTCACGACCCTGAGATCATGACCTAAACCAAAATCAAGAGTCAGACACTTCACTGATGGAGCCACCCAAGGCGCCCCAGAAAGTACTTTCATGCTATTTTCATTCAATCATAGATTGTTGTAAGCAGTTCTAGGATTCTGTATGGCTTCCCTCTTACCCTTTCACTCCCCTAATTTGCCAGGCCTGCTGTAGGACATGTGAGGTGTTTCCTGGCTTGTGGCAGTGGGGAGTAGCACAGCCGTGAGCATCTCCGAGGACACAGCTTGTGGAGATGACTCATTCTTTATGGAGGTTATTGGTCTGGCATTATGTGGGGTAGAGTCTGATCGGAAGCAGAGCGACCGACATGTGTGTCTGGTTGTTTGTCAGCCTCACAGACAAGGTGGGCATGCAGCAGGCAGGCAGGCCGTGGGTTCTGTGTTTGAAATCCCAGCTCCGTCACGTGGTAGGCGTGTGAGTGTGGACAGATGCCGTGACTTCTCTGAGCCTATTTCCTCATCCATGAGACAAGGACAGTGCAGCCCTTTGCCAGACGGTCACATAGCTCCTTGCCTCGCTGCCCTCGGACCCCTGCCTGGAAGCACCTCCTCAGAGCGGTCCCAGGGCCTTTGTTTTGAAAGCCTTCGAGGCCACCTTGCCAGGCTTGATTCTTCTTCAGAGCACTTACCGTCAGCCTCGGCCAGCTTGGGCGGCTATAACAAAATGCCACAGTCTGGGGCCTTATAAACAGCAACCACTGGCTTCTCACAGTCCTGCAGGATGCAAGGCCTACACCAGGGCACCAGCAGGGCCAGAGTCTGCCGAGAGCCAGCGTCCTGGCCAGGAGATGTCACCTGCTTGCCCTCACGCAGCACAAAACAGAGGCAGGCTCTCCCGGGATTCATCAGGGGGCTCTGCCTCACACCCTCATCTATCCTAACTGCCTTGCCAAGACCCCACTTAACATCTGAACTCTGGGGGGACACAAACATTCAGTCCATGACTTCATATGGCATGTGCCTTGTTCATGTGTCCATGTACTCACCACTCACTCCCCACCCCCTGCCGTACAGCAAGCCCGTGAGCTAGAGGAGGGCGGGGCTCTACATCCATGTGTCTGGAACACGCCTGGGAGTACGTGGGCATCTCCACAGACACCCCCCCCGGCCGTCTCGTGAACTGCCACGAGGCCAGTGGAAGGCCATGGAAGCACTGGGGGGTAATGATGATTTACTGTGCCTGGTGGGCACCCTCACTTGGAGGTCCCCTTGGTACATTTCGGGGCCAGAGGCAAGAATACAGCCACCCACCATGGCGATGCTGGGCAGGGGCTCCCGCGGGGTCAGAAGAGCCCTGAAGTTTACGTGAAGTGCTTCCTTGTTCCCTCCCCCTTTAAAAATGATTTTATAGTCTACTTATCACAGTTATATGCAGAAACCCTCCCCCTTTCTGCCCAGAGGTGACACTAAGTTCCTCCATGTGCCTGAACAGCCTCCACCTGTGTCCCTGTCACTGTCTGCCCCTGCGGTGGACACTCCCTGCTCACTCCCTCCACACCCGGCCCTCCAGGCGGACCCTTCCTGCATCCCATCCCTCCCTCCGAGACTTGGCCATAGACTTCGTTAGGTCAACATCAATGTTTGCAGGGAGTGGGTACCTTGTAAATGTTTCTGCGGCTGTGAGTCTGTAAGTGCTGTGGGGAACAGATTTCTAAAACAACATGATCTGTCTCGGCTGCACATCTTCCCGTGTTGTCTGTATGAATCATCACCCTTTCTCTTGATCCCTTTTCTATGTGATTGTCCCTCTTCTAGGCCCAAACTCTCCCTCGATTGTTCAGATCTCGAGTACACCCACCAGATAATCTGCCAGGTTCGTCTTCCCAGGGATGGCTGCTCCCACCTGTGAGGTGGGGTCCCCAGGAGCAGGAGCGGGGCCAGCAGGGAAGCTGGGCTCTGACTCAGGCTTCCACTGGAAGCAGGCGGCAGGGGGACCAGCCGGGGCTCAGTCATCGGGAGTAAAGTAAGGGTTTCCAGGGCCCCCCGGGGTGGCTGGCTCCTGAGGGATTTTGGAGAACGGAGCAGGACTGGATGTGAGCTGGGAAGGAAGAAGGAGTCTGTAGGACTGAGCCTGAAGTCCGCTGTAACTGACAGTCCTGGAGGCTGGAAGTGGGAGACCAACGCACGGGCGGACTCTGTGTCTGGTGAGGACCTGCTTGCTGGTTAATGGTCTGGCTGCGTCCTTGCGCAGCCAGAGGGCCAGGGAGCTCCCTCGGGCCCCTGTTGTCAAGGCAGGAAGGTCCCTCATGGCCTGAGCACCTCCCAGAGGTACACCTGCTGATAGCATCACATGGGGGGTTAGGTTCCAGCCTGAGAATTCTAGGGGACACCCACATTCAGCGCCTAACAGGGAAAGTGTCTGACTCTCCAACACGCAAGTGAGCCGTCCGGGCTGCAGTTCGCATCTGGCTTTGCGCACGCTCTGTGCCCGCTGAGCCACTGCGGCCCAGGCGCCCTCCCCGACCCAGGCCTTCTGCGGCCCTCCACCCAGGAGCCAGCCGTAGCCCTGCTGGTTCTCCTCGGTCTCTCTTTATTTCCTCTCTCCCTCCCCGAAGCCGCGCTCTTTTCCGAATAGGACCTCCTGCTTGGGCCCATTTCCCTGTCTTTCTTCTGCCCTTTGCATCGCTCAGTCTTTCTGTCCCACGTGTCCGGAGGGTTTGCTCCAGGCCGCGCGCCCCAGGGCAGCGCCGTCCTCCCAGGAGGCCCGCCCGCACCGCAGGCCAGAGTGGACTGTGGCGACGCGGCGGCAGTCCCGCGCGGGACCGGGGCGCCCAGGCAGCGAGGCCACACCGAAGCCAACACCCCGGCTCGGCGGCGCCCGGAACCTGCCGTCGCGGAGCCGCCCGCGCCGGGGGACGCGCTCGGGCAACGGACGCGGGGTGCGCGCGCAGCCGCAGTTCCGGTTCCGGACTGGCCCGAGGAGGAGCGGGAGGAGGAGCGCGCACGGGAGGAGGAGGAGCGAGTGCCCCGCCGGCCGAGGTAGAGCCCGCCGCCCCCTGGGCCCCGACGGGTGTCCCCGCGAAGGGCACCCCGCCCCGCCCCAGTGGCCGCAGGTGGCCTGTGTCACGTGCTGTGCTAAGTGCAGGGACCCCGCCCGAGGCGCGGCCCCGGGGGGCTGTGCGGGCGGGGGGCGGGCGGGCGGGCGGTCCGCCCTCAGCCCCCGTTACCCGTTACCGGGGCGCTTCATGTCCCTCGTCTGCAATACCCGAGTGTGGGGTGCACCTGCGCACGTGGGGACCGGCCCCTTTTGCAGGCCGGCGGGTCTGGGGACGGGGGGGGGGTGACAGAGGAGGGCCAGCCGGGTGTGGGGTGCACCTGCGCACGTGGGGGCCTGGCCCCCTTCTGCGGGGAGACGGGCGGTGACAGCGGAGGGCCAGCCGACTGTGGGGTGCACCTGTGCACATCGGGGGCTCGCCCCCTTCCTGCGGGCCGGCGGGTCTGGGGCCGGTGGTGACAGCGGAGGGCCAGGCACTTGGAAGGCCCTGTGAGCAGCCACCTTCTGGTAGGCAGGGGAGACAATGAGCCAGGTTTTAAGGGTGCTGAAGACTTTGCCGGAAAGGGAAGGGGTGAGAAGTCAGAGCCGTTCTATGGGGAGCTGTGGAAGCGCAGCCCCCAGAGGGGAGATGTTTGTGCTGGCGCCCAGGTGGGGCCCAGGAGCAGCAGTGCCACCAGTGGGCATTGGGGGAGCCCTGGGAGGTGACCTCTGGGACAAGAGGGCCCATGCCCCAGCGCCCTCTTCAAGGCCAACTCAGTCAGTGAAGTCAACTTTGGACCTGGGGTAGCAAGCTTTATCCCTCCAGATGGCATTTTTGAGATGGTGTTTTACTTCCTAATATGGATGTAGGTTTAAGCATATAGCGTTTAGATTTGAATGCAGTGTTCATAAATGCAATGTGAATGTCCATCACTTAAAAATATAACCTTGAAAAAAGCCCCCGAAACCACAGGCTTGGTGTTGAAATGAATGCCTTCCACCACAAGGAGAATGTGGTCCTCTTGCACCCAGGCCACAGAGGCAGCAGACCACAGGAAGTGCTGGGCTCTGCTTTATATTCGGGTTCTGGGGGTGGAGGGGTCAGGCTGGTGTCGCCCGTCAGGTGCCATTTTATTCATTTCGAAACCAGCCACCTTCGTTTGAATGCAAGTATCACTCTGATGAAGCGATCTTTGTCGTGGGGCTCCCCGGTGAGCACCGTGCTAGGGATGGTGCAGCCATTGGTCCCCCTTCTGTGCGGCTGGGCCGTCTGTCCCTGCACTGGCTGTGCAGCAGGTCTTGTTATTACAGATGGGATGGGAAGGCTTACGCACGTGAAGAAACTAGGAAGAGAGGAGCAGATGTCCAGGTGTGTGTGAGTCTGAGACCACAGGTGCCACCCTGTGTCGGGCAAGCCTTCTGCAAGGCCCACATGCTCTGGTGGTCTGCCTGAGAGTCTGGATGGTCAGGATACCCGGTCTGCCACGTCTCTGGCCGGGCACCTGTGGAATCTGAGAGCAGCGTGTCCCCCTCTGGGAGAAGGAGGGCTGGCCCGGCTCCCCAAAAGGCAGATTTCTGTGGTTTTGGCTGAGTTTCTGTCACATCACTGCACAGTGATGCTGCTTATCCTGGGCTGGCTGGCATGTTGAGAGCAGTTTTGTGAAGCTGGGTAACTGAGACAGCGAAAACCCATGGCCTAATTACATGTGCTTGGTGGCCGTGTCCCTCCAGGCTGTGCCGCTGGGGGTGACAGGGAACCCCACAACCAAAGGCCCCATGGTCGAAGGTGGGGCTCTCTTCCTGAGGGGTCCAGAGGTGTTTGGGAGGGAGACACAGTCATCTGCCTTGAATAGATTGATGTTTTTGTTTGTTCAAGGCAGGGCCCTGATCCCCTTTTTTTTAAATGAGGGAGTGAGTTCAGGGTCACATACCTGAGTGACTTAAAGCTGTTTTGAAGGGATGGCCCCATGCTCCCAAATGTTTGGTGGGAGAATAAATTAGTGCAGCCTCTGGCAGTGGCTGGGGGGCGGGGGGGGAGGGACCTCTGGCCCTATTTACTCAAATTAAAAGTTATTTTTGTTGAGGCCCCCCGCTGAGCACTGGGAGGGCCTCTTCTGAACTACCCACTGTGAGCTCAGGTGCAGGCGCCCCGCATCTCCTTCCTGCCCCAGCATGGGCCCAGCAGCCCCTCCTCCCTTGCAGCTGCAACTCGCTGCCCCTCCCAAGACAGCGAGCATGCAGCCTGCAGCGCCTGGCCCAGACACTCCTCGGACTGCTGGCTGCAGACACACTGCCTCCTGTGTGCGTGTGTCCCTGCAGCGGGACTGACGACGTCACGTCTGCACAAACCGTCTATGAACCAGAAGTTCTAACCAAGAGAAGAATGCTGTTCTCTCATTGCTGTTTGCATCTATCATTTGAGAAGTCGGAGAGCTACAGATACTTTAAAACCCCCTGTAGATCCACCATCCAGAACAAAATTTTTTATGTTTTTGTTTTTTGTGTGTAAAAGAAAATACTAATACCGAAGTTGAAGCATCTCCAGTTTTAAAAAACAAATGACATGTATCAGGCTTTTAAAAAGACCAATCGTAAAAGTCATACATGCTCATTTCAGAAAAACTGGGAGAAAATTGGGAAGTGCTAAGAAAAGACAGGTATCATCTGCATCCCTGTAACCTTATGAACACCTGGGTGTTTACCTTCCCGTCCTTGGTGGTCTTGCAGGACGCTACCTAATGGCCAGCACATGCCCTCCATGGCTGACCGCCACAGACCCCGTCTGGACCCTTTGGTTTAGACCCAGTTTTCAGTATCATAAATAACGCCATCGTGAGCATCCCCTCTGTGCGTCTCTGATTGTTTTCTGAAGACACGTTTTAAAGAGAACAGCCATGGGAACAAAGCTTGTGTATTTTCTGGAGTTTTTTGTCCCATCTTGGAAGTGACGCTGAATTACCCTTTTGGAGGTCTGAGTTGATACCCTAGGGCCCGCCTAGCCAGAGGGGCCACCCCCAGGTCCTGGGGGCAGCCTGGGTTGTGGCTGCTGGGGCCTGTGGAGTTGACTCAGATGTCAGTGTCTCTGGGCAACCCCCCCATTGTGGACGCTCCTCACCGCTTGTCCTATGGCTGAATTGGAGGTGTGGGGGGACCAGCCAGGCCTGGGCTTGGATCACTGCTTCTCCTGCTGTTTTGAGGTCTCAGGCAGGGGACTTCCCCTCTCGGGTTCCCTGGGGGCTGTTGTTGCGACTGCCTCTTGTGGCGTCCACCCACAGCCCTGCTATGGAGGCCATCGAGGCCCCGCACGGGAGGAAGGTGGGGTCAGCCCTGTTTGCCTGTTCTGTGTTGCAAGTGCTCGGGCTCCAGCTTCTCACTGCCACGGTCTGGCTCAGGATGCTGCCGCTCAGGATGCTGCTATCCCTGGAGAAGCAGGCAGTGCGTTCCCCTCTCCCAGTGAGGGAGGCAGGAGGTATCTGCTCTTTGAGACCCTGGAGGAGAGGCCCCTTGTTGGGGAGACGTGGACGTGGGTGTGGATGAAAGGAGAGTGGCATCGATTTCTGTAGCTGTGGGTCTGGCACCACCTCTCATGCCTCCCGGGACAGGGGTGGAAGAAGCAGCTGTTTCCGGCTACCAGGGTGCCCTATTCCTTAGCACCCCGGAGAATGCTGTCCCCTCCAGTGAGCATCCCGGAACGTCTGTCTTGCACTCTCCCCAGCAAGAATCTGGCCAGAAATGCCGTGTAGCAAGTTTTCTGTTTGCAGGCTCTCTTTGTTTTGTTTTGTTTTCCCACCGCCTGTAGAGCAAACAGGAGGATCTGTGAGAAGGGAGGACAGGAAACGTGTTTCGGCTATGCGCATTTGCTCTTCAGCGGCTCTCTTTCTTTCCAAAACTGGCATATCTGACGTGCTTATCACATTTACCGTTTCCTTACCATGTGTCAGGTTTCTTTATGGTAACAGAAGTCCAGAGGTGTGGAACCAGTCCCAAATCCACCTCTGAACCCTGTGTAAAGGTCGGGACAAGGACACAGAAGTTGTAGGACGCTGCGGCTTTTGATGACTGCCTCTTTCACCTGGAAACAGTGTGGGTCTAGTGCATTTGAGAACCGACCATTCGGTGGAGGCTGTGGAGCGTTGAGGAATATTCGCACAGGACCTCGGAGCAAACAGCTGCAGCTGAGAGGGTTCTCAGCGGCTGCGGGGTCTCCTCCCATGTGGCCGGCGCCGGAGCCTCTCCCTGCTGGTCTGCGGAGGGGGACTGTGCGGAGCCCCCGCTGCACCACAGCCGGCACGCTGAGGGGCTCCCGTTCCAGGCATAACCCCATTCCAGCAATCCTTCCTGCCGTGCAGCTTGTTTGTTTTGTTAGGTAGTTATAAAGTGTTGTGAATAATCTGTTCTTAAATTAAGAACAGAGAACAAAACTGTTTAGTGCTCATAACAAACAATAACACATTAGTTTTCCCCTGTAGCAAGTTACTGGGAGAGAGAAAAGTGTGGATCTGAGCAGGGGGAGGGCTTGGGAAACCGAGCGGGAAGGAGGCAGCAGGGGTGCCTGGCCCCCGCCCCCCTGCCCAGGTCATTCCTGCGTGTCTCTGTTCTGCTGGGCCTGTCGGAAAGAAGACTTATGGCTTCTGTTTTGTTGTGTTGTTGGCCGGCAGGCGTCCTGTCAGCCGGTGGCATTCAGAGGTGCCCTCTGGGGTCCCTGTGCCTGGCCCCCGTGGGAGCGGCGGGCATGCAGTCCATGGGCGGATGCGGCTGCCAGCTCTGCTGTGCTTGGCTGGGGGAGGGAAGGCCCAGGCTGGGCTCTGTCTGGGACTTGGGGGCTGAGCAGCCTTGAATTTTCTTCTGTGTGAGATAGGGTCGAAGGTGGTGTCCTTGTTTCCTGAACAGGGTGCTTGAAGGTGAGGTTGAGAGGCACAAACACGTCGTAGCATGCGAGGTGCGTTTTCACCGTCAGTGTCGAGTGGTCTCCTTAGAAATCCCGGGGGACAAGTGAGTCGCGGAGCCCAGAAAGGTGCTGAGGCCCTGGCGCTGTGCCCAGGGAGGGAGGCAGTTACCCCCTGAGCACCAGAGGCGACGGTGGGGAAGAGCAACCCCTGAAGGAACTGTGGAACGGGGGATTTCAAACCAGAGCGAAGGGTTGTTACTGACCCTGTGGGCCGCCCTGGCTCTAGGAAGGAGCCTGCCGGTTATGCTGGGGGCAGAGTCCAGGGTAGCAGGCGGGCTCCTGGCCTCTGGAATTGAGCTGTCCCTGCAGAAGCAATCTTGGAAGTGTGCACCCGTCCCTATTAAGTGCTGACGCCCACGGCTCTCCCCGTGAGGCACTGTCCCGGAGCAGGACATGGGCACGGAGCCAGACCCGCTGCAGGACGCTGCCTGGCCCTGCCTGGCTCACCCTTTGCAGAGGGAGAGAGGAGTCAGGATTCAGTTTAAAGCCAGACTGACACCCCGGAGACGCGTACACGCACTTTGAGACACTGCATGCCACTGTGTTCCCGAACGCCTTCCCTGTCAGAAGTGCACGGAGCAGAAGCCGGCCATGTACTGAGCTGCGAGTGCCGGATGGACAGAGAATGGGTGCTCAGCAGCCCTCAGGGCTTTCCCCTCTTGGCTAGTGATTTTCCAGCTCAGATTTTTTAAAAAACCATTCTTCAGAATTTACTTTAAGGGCACTGAATTTGCTTTTCCTTGGTTTTACCGAGTTTCATTGTTTTAGAATCTTGTATATTTTTGAAATCTGTTGCTGAGAGTAAATAAAAGCTGGAATATTGGACAGTAAATCCGGACGGTGCCATATGGTGTGTAGGGCCTCCTGTGTGGGGAGGTTACCTTGTGAATGAGGTCGGGCAGGCTCTGTCTGGCCGGGAGGTGAGAACAGATCGGCGGCAGTAACTGGCGCTCCTCTCTCTTCTGGCTCTGCCCCAGGTACATTGAGCTGGACGTGTGTCCGCGATGCTGCCCCACCCAGTGATGTCCTTCCGGCGCCTGCTCTGTGCCATGGCCTCCCACCGGCCCGCCCCCTTGAGATGCGGAGGAAGCAGCCCCCTGCACACGGCCCCAGCCACCTGTTCTGACAGGAGCGCCCCTGTGTTCACCCACGCCCTGGCCTTTGCGGACAGGATTGCTCTCGTTGACCAGCATGGCCACCACACGTACAAGGATCTTTACTACCACAGCCTCCGCCTGTCCCAGGAGGTGTGCCGTCTCCTCGAGTGCGCTGGCGGGGACCTCCGGGAGGAGAGGGTCTCCTTCATGTGCTCCAACGACGTCTCCTACGTGGTCGCACAGTGGGCCTCGTGGATGAGCGGAGGCATTGCTGTCCCCCTGTACAGGAAGCACCCCCAGGCCGAGCTGGAGTATTTTATCCGGGACTCCCGGAGCTCTGTGGTCCTTGCTGGCCAGGAGTACGTGGAGCTCCTGCGCCCACTGGTCAGGAAGCTGGGGGTCCCGCTGCTGCCTCTCCCGCCCACGGTCTATGGTGCGGCGGCTGAGGAGCCTGGGCAGTGGGAGGTGTGGGAGCGGAGCTGGAGAGACCGAGGCGCCATGATCATCTACACCAGCGGGACCACAGGGAGGCCCAAGGGTGTCCTGAGCACTCACCACAACATCAGGGCCATGGTGAGTGCTCGCGTGCTGCTGTGCTGGGGCCTCTGGGGGTGGCCTGTCTTGCCTTTCCTAGGCGACCGCCCCGAGCTGCCACTGTTCTGCCCGCCCTCCCAGAAGCCTGCAGCCAGAAGTGACCACTAGTCCTGCTAACCCGTGGGGGATGGCTCTGGGAAAGGCGGGGGTGGTCACTCAGGCTAAGGACTTAGGGGCCCACCGAGGGCTCCTCAGGGCCGTGCAGCCAGTGAAGGACAGAGTGGCCCATACACAACGGTGAGGGTTTCAGAGGAAGCAGCTACGGAGCAAACATTCAGGATGTATGATCAGCACTGGGAAACCCGAGCACAGGACTCGGAGCCTACGTTTGGGCACTATTTTCATGTTCTGTGGCCTCACCATCTCAGCCAAGCTCCCCAGCTATTTTATTTACCTGTCATTTATGTCCTCCCTGCTTCCAAAAAATATGTGTGTGTACGATCCAGACTCGTACGCTAGGAGCAATAAGAGAGATGCTCAGAACCGCAGAGATGAGGTGTGAGGTCAGTGCCATTGAGTCTCAGCCTAATTCAGTCCCTACAGCAGGGGTAAACTGAGTCCAGGCTGACTGCAGGCACAGCGTCATTGATAGGTTTTCTTTGTCTCCTGCAAGATACTTTTTGTCTGGAGAGACCATCTGTTGACTGGTACCTGTAAGGGGGTGCGTATGTCACGTGTGTTTGCCCATAGCGTTCACAGGGGCATGCAGGCAGCGTCCTCACTGGTGATTTTCAGAAGATTCCAATGGGCGTGTTTCACGGTGCTTCTTACTCAAAGCTCAGGATGTGGCAGAAACCCGGCTCCAGGTCCTGTGACTGACCGTTCAGCTGCGGTGAGGGAGGTTCCAGAATCAGGCAGGCAGAGCAGGGCGGGCGTTCAGATTCAGGCCTGGACTCTGCAGATGCCCAGAATCCCAGGGCCCGCTGGAGCCAAAACCACACTTCCGACTGGCTGGGGGAAGAGCCACCAAGAGCACATGCGGAGGACTTGGGACCCCCAACACCAAAGCCCTGACCTTGTCCAGCTCTGTCCTTGGACGTGGGGGTCTGCAAGGGAGCCAACAGACCCTCGGGCGCGTGGCCACCGTCCCCCTCAGATGCCCTGAAGGGCCGGAGCGTGAGCCTCCCCGGAGCGCCGGAGCGTGAGCCTCCCCGCTCCCCTTCCCAGCTGGGGAGGCTTCGCTGGCCTGATGGCTTCCCTCCCGTCTGAGGCTGTCCTGTCGTCCCACAGGTGATGGGGCTGGTCCACAAGTGGGCATGGAGTAAAGATGATGTGATCCTCCACGTCCTCCCGCTTCACCATGTGCACGGCGTCGTCAACAAGCTGCTCTGTCCCCTCTGGGTGGGGGCCACCTGTGTGATGCTCCCTGAGTTCAGCGCACAGCTGGTAAGTTGGGGACAGACTCTCGCCATGGCTGGATTTGGGTGCCCGTGGTGCCTTCCTCTGCAGTGTGGACTTTGCCAGCTATGCAGGTTCTCTGTTGCTGCTGTAACAAATGATCCCCGACTGGAGGGGCTTAAAACAACACAGCTGATTCTCTGACAGTCGTGACGTCAGAAGGCCATCTTGTGGAGTGAAAGTCAGGGTGTGGGCGGGGCTACTTGCGTCTGGAGAGGCCGATTCCTGGTGCTTCTGACATCTAGCCGCACAGCGCCCTTGCCTTGCGGCCGCCTCACCCTAGGCTCTGCCTGCCTCCTGTGGACCCTGTGATCACATCAGGTCCACCTGCATGTCCAGGGTCCCCTCCTTTCTCAAAAGTCTTAACCCCATCTGCAAAGTCCCTTTTGCCACGTGAGGTGACATATCCATGTGGATTAGAACAGGACGTTTTAGGTCCGTTGCTCAGCCAAGCACACCAGCTTTCCTTTGTTCTGGAGCGGGAGGTCCAGCTGGGGGCCCTTTGTCGGTCCCCGATGTGCACATCTCTGCAGCATGCTGTACCTTCCCCACCCAGCCAGGCCAGCAGGGCAGGGCCCCCACCGCTGAGCAGAGCGCAGTGATGAGGATTCTGCTTTGCAGGGAAGACAGACCTGGTCAGGTGCCGACCTGCCGCTGGACACTCTGTGAGCCTCAGTTTCCCATCTGTCTTGGTCGAGGCTGGGTGCTGCACAGACCGCCCTTGGTGAGGGCTGCCGGGCATGTGTCCTGGGAGGCACCACCCTGCACAGCTGGCTGACTGTTTGCTCCACAGGGAACTGTCTCTTTGAAAGAGACCCGAGATTTTCGTTGATTTTCGCTATAACTTATGTGATGATTAGAGCTTTTATTCACAGGGAAAAGGTTGAAAAGAGAATGTTGAGGTCACGTCATACTAGTTCTCAAAACACCAAATGGCCAGATTGCCAAAGCAAAGAGCCCAGGACACCCCTGAGGCTGGTTGGTGGCTGTGCAGGCCCGTCCCGCAGGGTGGACCATCCCCAGCCGGAGGAGACCGAGGTCGCGCTCCAGGCAGCGCTTACCTATTACTCCAGCTGCTTGAAGGCTCCCGGCCCATCGGAGGGTCTGTTGGGAAGAGCACCCAGGTTCCCTGCCCAGCAGCTCAGAGCTTGCATTGCCTCGCGAAGGGGCCCCAGAAAGCCAGGGTCCTTGGTCTCCAGCGTCCAGCAGCGTCCACCTTCCTGCCTCCCTTAGGCTCGTCCACCCCTCGTAGCCCAGAGCCTTAATCCACAGGTGGTGTTGGGAGTGGGAAGGAGGAGGCTCTGGGGGCAGGCTCTTGAGAGCAACGCAGCCCAGACAGCCTTCCACCTCTCTGTCCCTCAGTCTTGTTCTCTGAGAAAGAGGACCAGTGTGAGCCCTGCCCCAGGGACGTGCAGGAGTGCCCAGCACACATTGGGGACGTCACAGCCAACACGGACACCTCTCCCAGGAAGACAGAGCATGAAGAAGGGGACCCTTTCTTCTCTTGCTCCTGCTAGAGTTTCAGTCCAGAAGGAACTCACGGTGTATGACCCAGTGAGCCTGTTTGCTGACAGCCGATTGTAGGGGAGTTTAGAGAAGGAGTAGCCATTGACAAAACAACAGAGGTGGAGGCCCTCGGGCCAAGGTGGTCACTTTGGACCTGTCCCAAGAGCCCAGGGCACAGCTCTGACAGGGCTCTGGGCCTTCTGTCCACTCCTTCAGCTGTCACAGCTCTGCCTTCATTGTTTGTGTTTTGTTTTGGAGCTGCAGGATCCCGGGAGGTTTTAGGGGAACAGAGAATCTGCAGCTTGAAGATGCCTTTCAGGGCAGCAGTCTGGGGCACTGTCCACATTCTAGACATAAAGGCCTCCCGGCAGGCCTGATGAATAATCCCCCCCCCCATGCACACGCCCCTTCTTGGCAGGGCTCTGACCCAGGGCCCTGTTCTCCCCAACCCTGACCGGATGGCTGCTGTGGCCTGGATGAATGGGCTGGGGGAAGGGGGTCACCTGAGGCTGTGGGGCTGCTCAGCAGGGAGCATCCTGGCAGGGGCCACAGCACAGTGGGGTCCCTGCAGAATGCAAACTGCTCGCCTCCCCAAATCCTCCATCCCCTTGGAGGACTTCAAGGACCGGGGGCACTCGACACAGCGAAGACGGTGCCCTGCTTTCACCTCCCCTGCACAGCCCTTCGGCTCCAGCCAGGCTTTCTTCAGACTTTCTCAGGAGCCACAGCCATGCTGCCAGGGGTCCCCCAGTCCTCGCCTTGGTTGCATAGGCAGAAAGAGGCAGGGGCAGAGCTCTGGAGACCTAAGCTTCCAGGTGCCCTTTAAACAGAGGGAGAGGCCGCCGCACCCTGACTTGGAGCCCCAGTGGCTGATGGCCGACGCTGGTGGACCTTGCACAAGTGCCCCTGCCCCAGCTCCTGATTTGGGAATGACATGAGTGCCCCTGGTCAGTGTGGCAGGGATGTCCTTTGGGGCAGCAGTGTGAGACCAACCAGGCCTTTTCTTCCCCAAACCACAGACCCAGGAACCACAGAGAAAGAACAGGAAGGAAGCACTGCCCCCCACCCCCAACCCAGGCCTGATCTCCCGCCGACCCACCCAACTAACCTGGACCTGGTACCCTCACAACCCGCTAACCCAGGCGTCGTCCCCAAGGGTGGTGCACGCCCCCTTGCTTGCCTCTGTCCCCCTCGCCTTCCCGCCCTCGGGCGTCTCTTCCAGTAAGTGTGCCCACAGCCCTGAGGCCCGAGGCCACTGCCCTTCTCTCGCCGCAGCCCCGCTTCTGACCCTGCCCCGACATTACCACCTCCGGCCAGGCATCCTGTGCGTTTCTTTTCTCCCCTAGAACGTCGCCCCTAGAGTGTGTCTAAAGCAGCGCAGGGTCCGGGCGTTGTGGGTGAGTGGGTGACGCGTGGGCCTCCCTCACTCCAGCTTCCCCACTTGCTGTGTGGGTAACAAGGGCACACTGGCGGGCGGCAGGCTCACACCCTCTGCACCCCGTCTCACCTTCCTTAACTATCACTGTGAACATGTGGATTTGTGTCACAGGTATTGGGGGGGATGGTTGTTGGTTTAGTAAAAGTTTTGGTGTATCAAGTGAAGAATCAGAGCATAAGTAGATATAATGTAACACAGTTGTCGACTTAAAATCCATCATGCGGTTCCTTAAAGCAGTAACTTCCCTGCAAAGCTCCGGGTTTGTACACATTTGTGTCTGAACGTTTGTGCTTTATCTCGATTTATTTTGTGCATCCGTTAGCAAGATGTATTCTAAGGTATCAGAAAAGCCTCAGGTTTTGGGGGGTTCTGGAAACACTCAACAATTTTTCCATATAAATTAACAGTGATTGCTTCTTTGCTTTGCACCATTTTGGCTTAGGACAGGTTTCATAGCTTCTATTTAAGAAATCTTTGTGAAGTAGGGGCCAGGTTTCTGTAGTGGTGTTAGACGGTCCAGGATCCTGGGCTCTGCAGGTCTCCTCACTGAGCCCGGCATGGGCCAGCTGTGGGCTGACTGACTCTCCGTGCCCTGTGATGGGGCCTGGTGAGATGGCAGTGACGTGAGGGCAGGTGGGAAGGTAGGCAGGCCATCGCGGCCTGAAGAACAAAGTGACTGTTGATGAGGCTGTGTCTCTCCCATGTCTCTGTGGATTCCCTCTGGCCGACTCCCCAGGATCTCCACCTCTTTCCAGGGGTGCGGAGAGGGAGCCATTTTTGCCAAAGGCACTAAATCAGAGTGGGGCTGTGGGATCTGCCAGGCAAGGCCGCGCCGGCCATGTGAGGCAGGAGGGTGCTCCCCAGAATCCTGGTCACGTGAGGTCGGGGTTCCCAGTGGGGTCACCACCCCTGCCCAGGACACTGTTCCCTTGGGGTAAACTTGCTGCCCCAGGAGACCTGTGGCCCCAGACCAAGTTCATTCTGGGATCTGAGAAATTGGCATCTGGGTGGGGGTGAGGGTGTGTCTTCAGGCTGAACGTGTATCAGGGTATCTGCAGAGTTGGGGAGGAGGAGCAGAGCACATGACACGCAGGCCTCGGGTGGGAGCCGCGGCGTGGGGGCCTCTAGGGCGGGGTGTGCACAGGGGCTGCAGGAGCTGTGTCCTCATTGCCCACTTTTGGCCAGAGCACCTCAAAACACAAGAACCGCTTTCTGTGTTGTTTAAGATTACCAAAAAATGAGTGATGGTTTGATCCTCGGGGTCCCTGCATTAAGCTGGTTGAGCCTTCACTGTGGTCCCCCACCTGCCTAGCAGTCCTGCAGTCCTGGGACCCGGCCGCGCTTTCCAGTCCTGGTGACACGGCGGGGTGCTGTGGTGACTGAGTGACAGAGGTGCCTAGACCCCTCACAAGGCTGCATCTGTGGTGGGTGGCACCCTGACTCGCTCAGTTAGAAAGCTCACGGGGCTTCCTGTGTGCAGCCGGATTTGGGAACCTCTGTCTGACCTGCTGGGACAGCTCAGCTCAGAGCGGGGCTGTGCGGTCTGGCTGCCTTAGAAGTGCTGTCGCTCGCAAGAGGCAGGGCCTGGGGAGGCTTGTTCTCTGCATGGAATCCCCAGGGGGACGATTTTGAGTTCCCAGAGGAGTTGGGACAGCATGGAGGAGACTCTGCTGTTGGAAATGTCGTGTTTTGGGACAGCAGCTCCCCTTTTGCTGCCTTGGGTAAATCCCAAGACGGGCATCAGGAGGTGGCATCTGGGTAGATGACATGTGTGCTGGGGGTTGGATGCCAGCTGGACGGCCGGGGACCGATCAGCACCCCTTTGTGTGGCTGACCACGTGTTCCGTCCTTCCTTTAGCCTTGTGTGCGAAGCCCGGCCTGGCCAGGACCACGACACCCCAGAGCGGATGCTAGCCCGTGGGGCCTGTCCCCCCTCCTCCGGTGCCAGGCAGCCTGGGAGGGAGGAAGCCCCTCACGGTGTCTGCCCCGGGAGGAGGGAGTCTGTCCCGTCGTGTATCTTCTTGTCCAAGCGCTCCTGGTGGCG